TATTCGGGATTTCTATAATCGCTTAGTTAATATTTATTTCTCTAAAATTTATTCGCTGGTACTCCCTCCTCTTCTTCTTCTCCCGCAGAGAGAGGACGCGGTCGATTCAACTCCTCCGGCGAAAAAACGGAGAACCTACGTAGCGGCAAAAAACCACCTTCCTCGGGCTGCGAAGCATTGTAAAGTACGTCGATGCGCGTTTAAAATAATTAGAATCTTTATCCGATAATGTTAACAAGTGTGCTTTATATTTAATTCAAGAAATCGAACTGAAATTACCCGCATGTTTTATTAATCAGGAAATTTTAAAATTAACACTGCATGGTAATTGCGAAGATATAGAACGTAATGTGCGTACACACTTAACTTTTCTTGATATGTATTTCAATATAATATTTTTGGAATTAACTTCGTTAAGATATAAAGAAATTTTTCATGTAATTCTCTCGAAGCGAGAATCTTTGGCTTAATTTTACTAAAACGTTTTTAGTTTATTCTCATACAAACTATGTATTTCTTCTTCTTTGAAAAAAAATGTATCAATAAATATATTTTTATAACATAAACCCTCGTTTCTTAATTACTCGTACCTTCCAATAACAATTTTTTTCTCTGCTTATTTCCGCGTTATACATATAAACTTTTAAATAAAGTACAAGAAATACAATACAATTCATAAAATCCTTGCCATAAACCATAGAAATCATACTCTCTCGCTCGAATGAGTGAGTCATCACACCGGAGACGACACGCCGCAACTGCTGAACGTGTTCGTTCCTGTTTTACCTCCCCCAAAATTCTTCCGAACAAAGCAAGTCTCTCTCTCTAGGCCCGCAATTCAACCTCATTTACAATAGATACATTTTCCCCGTATTACAGACTCAGATTATGTACATTAAATACACAAAATATAGAAAGAATTTCTTTTTTTAAAACAATGCTCGAAGACGACGCGCCCCAACTGCTAAACGTGTTCGTTCCTGTTTTACCTCCCCCAAAATTCTTCCGAACAAAAGCAAGTCTCTCTCTCTAGGCCCGTAAATTTTCCGTATAAGATTTCCTTTCTCATACATTCACCGAATTGCCTTCACGTCGGAGACGTTGTCCCGCGACAACAAAAGCGACCGTCATAAAATTCGACCGGTATTCATCCCCCCCGCTGTTCGTACTCTAGCCGCGCAACAAAGAATGCTGAAGTCCCAATCCCCACTCACCATTTTTCAAACCTCTACTTTGTCTAAGGCCCTCTACCACCCACCCTCTCCAATCACCTTTTGGATAGGTATGGAGCGAACCAATCAAATCTTAGGTGAGTATAGGGCGAACCGATAAAAAAAAAACAGCAATTTTATAAATCTATGTTTTATTAATCAAACTGATATAGTATAGAGCGTATTGATACAGATAGCGTTTTTTTCTTTTGCGGACCAACCATAGTACTTGAAGATTAAATAAATTTCTGGAATGTATTACATATTTTTATTTTTAGTATTCTTTTTTACTATTAATAGATCATAGACGTCATACAATAAACTTGGGCATCTGTCAACATAACCCCATAGAAACATTAGTCGATTTGTGTCTGCATCATAAAGTTATTCTCGATTGAAAATGTCAGTTTACGATCCAAATTCTCGTCATTTGCGGGAGGTTTTAATTTTCTGCTTCAATATGAAAAAATCTGCAGCTGAGGCTCATCGAATACTCTCAAATACTTATGGTAAGGCCGCTATTAGTGAAAGAACGTGTCGTGAGTGGTTTCAACGCTTCAAGGACGGTGATTTTGACGTCGAAGACCGGCATAGCAGTGGAAGAGAGAAGGTTTTCGAAGATGCAGAATTGGAGGCATTACTTGAGCAAGACTCGTGTCAAAATCAAGAAGAATTGGCACGATCATTGGGAGTGACTCAACAAGCCATTTCAAAACGCCTCAAAGCCATGGGAATGATTCAGAAGCAAGGAAATTGGGTGCCGTACGAATTGAAGCCGAGAGATGTTGAGCCGGCGTTTGTTTGCTTGTGAACAGCTGCTTGAAAGGCAAAGACGGAAGGGATTTCTGCATCGCATTGTGACTGGGGACGAAAAATGGGTTTATTACGATAATCCCAAGCGCAGAAAATCATGGGGAGTTCCCGGCCATGCTTCCACGTCGACGGCCAAACCGAATATTCATGGCTCCAAGATCATGCTCTGTATTTGGTGGGACCAGCTCGATGTCAATGTGTTTAGTTTGAAAATGTTCGATCCTGTCAATCATATGTTTATAATACGCAGCCTAAATATGCGTAATTCTCTATATATGTCGATTATTGCGAAGAGTGTTGCTAAGGTCTCGGTAGTCTAAAGGCTCAGGACGCTCGCACGGAATGCAAGAGATCCGGGTTCGACTCCCGGCCGAGGCAATATTTTTCGCAATAAGTTTATTACAGTTTTTTAAGATTTGGGAGAATTTGGGGGGATTATTTGTTTCAGATTGATTGTGTGAATCCGATAATTTCATCGGCTCTCAATTTATGTCTGAAAAATTAATTCAATTTTATTGAATGTATATTAAGACAGTAGTTCAACATCTTACTGTGACCGATAAGGCGCTGATGTCAATGTGTTTAGTTTGAAAATGTTCGATCCTGTCATTCATATGTTCATAATATTTTTGTATTTATAATATTGTTTTTTAATATTTTCTTTGTGTTTAATGTTTTTTTGTATTTGTTAAAATGTTGTAAGTATAGTGATAAATAATACATTCGAATTTACCATGAAACGATAACGTAACTTGATAACAATTAATCGCTTGACTGTCACATGATTACGTCCTGCGCATAAACTTTTGTTTTCTTTATATCAGTGTTGCCGTTTTTGATGATTTTTCACTATTTTAGTTATTTTTAAGGTCTTTTGGTGATTTAATGAATTACTTTCTTTATTTGGTGAATTTTTATGTCAGCATTCTCTACTTCTTTTATTAAGGCCGGTCTCACTCTTTGAAGCTGCTTTTTCATGCGAGTAAAAAAAAACTAGCGTTTATCTCCACTCCGTCACAATTCAAATCCAGTGTCGAAAAGTTAAAACTATCGCATCCTTCCTTTTTATGGATCAAAGTTTTGCTGGCAAAGTTACTCCTACTATGTCGTGTAAAATTGACCAATCACCTTCGAGTATTCTCTTCTTACTGCCGAATGTGAGAGGGGAATACTTGATTGTGATTAGTTCTTACAGATTACGGCATATGGTTACGGTCAATATAAACACTCCCTTATTTTTCATTTCTACACTTGTTAATTGTTTCTCGTCATTCGCCTAAGTAAGAGCTATAATCAGTAGTGTATAAGAAATAAAATCGTGAATTGCTTCTTTATTTTCTTCACGGTTTCGTGGTGCATTACAGTATTGTGATACATATAATATAATTTAGCGTTGTTATTATTAGATTGTGGATATTTTATAATTAATTGTTATGGCGAGTGGGTTATCAGTGAATGAAGACGAGGTGTTGATGAACAGAGATGAACCAGACTATCAAATATGGTAAAATTTCACCTTTTTTTTTGCTCGGCCTTTTCTCTATTCTTTGATATAAATGAAAATCCAAGCGTATAAGTCGAATATGATGGAAGAGTAACAAAAGCGTAAACGAAGTTTCTAGAAGATGAAAATTGAAACAGCGGACCTCTTTTAGATTCCGTTGTTTCGATTTCTAAAAGCTTTGTTTATTCTTCTTCTATTACTCTCCGTTACATTCGACTTACGAGTTCCAATTTTTATTTTTACCAGGGTTTTTTCTCATTTTTAAACACGTGTTTCTGCCGAACAAATTGAAAATATATGAATAGTGACCACGTGTTAAAATTTGAGAATAGAAATGCCCGTATTAGGAACTTTATCGATAAGAATTAAAGTCATTGTTATATTCACAATTGTAATATATTATTTTGTCGACATAAATATCGTTCTATCTTTGCATTTTATGTGTAAGAAAAACGTAACGATACTTGTATTTATATGTATCGTACTAAATGGAAGGCATTTGCATAACAAATAATTTTACAAAATTCTTCGATCCGATTTAAAAAAAAATGATTCGATTATATGATTCGAATGATCCCCTCCTACAGCACAAAGTTGCACAAAAGTTGCAGCGATATTTGCTGCAAATTCTATATTATATGGGAAGTGATTCGATTTAATTCTTATTGTCGGCGTTTCTCGGAAATTCTATGGACGCTTCTGGAAAATTCCTTTCGTGCACGTATATAAGTCGATAACTTTTTCTACTTCTTTTAAGCACTCGGCTTTTGTTTTTGTTTTTTGCAAAGATGATACTGACTGCTTTTACAATCAATGCAAACAATGTTCTTGACATTCAATGATAATAAAACAATTAAAGATAGAACGATACTTATGTTGACTGAAAACAAAAGCAGCATTTTATAACAATCCGCATTATAGTCGTTTATCATGCTCGTTATTATGCTTTCTATATTAAACTTTAATTTCAGTTTAACTTATTGTTCAACTTTTTCTAAATTTTTTTATTTAAAATATATAACTAGACATTTATAATCGATTTTTATTTTAAACCAGCTTTATGACTTGCACGCTGAACGCGATGAGTGTGACGAGTAGAGATATCCAATGAAATCTCTGTTTTTTTACACTTGACGCTCTCATTAAGCAAAGTTCTCATTCGCAAAGAGATATCGCTCGTCGCTCATTGTTCATCGCGTCTAGTGACGTGTTCAGATTCCTAATACCCTGGGTGTCATGTCATCCTTGTTTAAAGGTGCCATTTCATACAGCAAAGCTTTGCTGGCAAAAACTCCCCACTGTGTCGATTCAAGCGAAAATAAATAGTGACCGAAGCTTCGCTCATAGCTAAACATTGTCGAACTATGAGCGGAGGAATGCAGTGAAGCCTTTGAACCTACTACCTGCTTTCTTTAACATTATAAAATATTATATTATTCTAAATATATTATTATATTCAATATGATTCGAAACAAGACCGTCTATATAAATATTACAACTTTAAATACAAAGCGCCTTCCCGGTCCGAGTGTTAAGATGTTGAACTACTATCTAATATACATTCAATTAAATTGAATTAATATTTCAGAAATAAATTGAGAGCCGATGAAATTATCGGATTCACACAATCAATCTGAAACAAATAATCCCCCCAAATTCTCCCAAATCTTAAAAAACTGTAATAAACTTATTGCGAAAAATATTGCCTCGGCCGGGAGTCGAACCCGGATCTCTT